TATTTTATGGCCACTATTAATATTCCAAAGAATCTATATATATAAAAGAGTAGCGTTACTGACTGACTGGTTCATCATCGCACATCAACTACATCAACCTAGAATCATGAAATTTTGACAGTAGATGTGTTTTTGGAAATTTGTACATTTACGGGTAAAAAGGGGAAAAAACGGGTAAAACAGGTTTTCTTAATTATCTTACACAATATTAGTGATACAAGAAAAATTTTAAATGCACCTGTATCTACTCTTAAAATGAGCAGATGGGTGTCTGGTACTTTTTTGAAATTCGTACTTTTAAGGGGTAAAAATGTGTAACAAAAGTGATTTTGGCCCCTTATAACTTTTGAACTAATTAACATAATAAAATTTTTATAAATATTTTGTATACATCTCCCAAAATTATGAGACACCTGTTTCGTACTTTTTTAAAATTCAGTCCTTTTTGGGTGTAAAAGGAAGAAAACTGTATTTATGGTACTTTTTTGTAGCACATTAAGAAAACTTTTTCGGTTTATTGAATTATTCCTATTAAATTACGGACTAACTCTGTAATATTTATTGTAATAAAATTTTTGCTATTTCACTGGGGAAAAAAAAGTACCAAAAAGGGGAAAAACGGGAAATTTAATTTATAAAAATTTTTATAAAATTTGAAAAAGTAGTTTATTAACTCACACAAAATAAGCTATTGGTATATTATTTTGGAATTCGAGTACTAAGTCTTATATAGGACCAAATTCGAGTAAATTGTTTGGTACTTTTTGAAGGCACTATTTTTCTGGACTAAATGAATGCAGATTTGAATCGTTTGAATTTTATCTGTGATATATAGATTTAAATACGGAACATTTTGTAAACTTAATTCTCAAAAAAGTATATTTCTATGCGAAAAGGGCAAAAAAATTATACTCTTTTTATTAGTACTTTCCACTTAGGTAAATTTTATTCCCCTTTTGGTACTTTTTCTTTCTTCAAATGATATACTCTTTGTATGTTCTTTAATATGAATTCAAAACACATGATTATTAAACATACGGTCCTCATTGAATAAGATTCTTTAAGAGAAAACTTTTTAGTACTTTTTTGCTCATAAATGGTACTTTTTTAATTTTCTAAAATATTCAATCTAGGAACATTAATTTTAACATACATGGTCTTGACTGAATAATATTCTGTAAGTGGGAACTATTTGGTACATTTCTATTCTTCAAATGGTATCTTTTATATTCTTTATAATGGTTAACTGGTTATTTTTTGACTCCTTCATAACTTAACGAAAAAATAAAAATATGAATTTAGTACTTTTTGGATATTCGGACGTTTAAGGGGTTAAAATTTTACCTATTTTTGGTACTTTTTTCATAAAACATTGTTTTTGGTTTATTAACTTATACATATGAATACATAATAACGGGCTCCCACTACGATGTTGCAACTTTTTGGAATAGAATTTTTATTTCGTTAATGGGGAGGAAAAAAGTACCAAAAGGGGTAAAAATGGGAAATTTGATTTTATTCAACCACAATGATCCAATTTAGATAAAATTTTTAAATTTAGAAACACTAAATATCCTAATGGGGTGTTATTTGGAACCCTGGTACCAAGTGATATTTTTTGGTATTTTTCATTCTCCAACTGGTCCTTTTTGAGTTTTCTATGATATTGAAATAGAAACATGAAATTAATAATAAAGGGACTTTTCGCTACTTTTTCGTTCTACACAGGTACTTTTTTGAGTTTTCTTTAAAATTAAACCTAGAAACATGAAACTAAGCATGTAGAGCTCGGAGTAAATGAGAATCTATAAAATGGGACTTTTTGGTACTTTTTAGTTCTTCAAAAGGTACTTTTTGAATTTTCTATAATATTGAACCTAGAAACATGAAATTAAACATGTAGAGACCGGAGTAAATGAGAATCTATAAAAGGGGACTTTTTGGTACTTTTTCGTTCTTCGACTGGTACTTTTTAAGTTTTCTATAAAATTTAACCTAGAAACATGAAATTAAGCATGTAGAGCCCTTAGTAAATGAGAATCTATAAAAGGGGACTTTTTGGTACTTTTTCGTCTTTCGACTGGTACTTTTTGAGTTTTCTATAAAATTTAACCTAGAAACATGAAATTAAGCATGTAGAGCCCGGAGTAAATGAGAATCTATAAAAGGGGACTTTTTGGTACTTTTTCGTCTTTCGACTGGTACTTTTTGAGTTTTCTATAAAATTTAACCTAGAAACATGAAATTAAGCATGTGGAGCCCGGAGTAAATGAGAATCTATAAAAGGGGACTTTTTGGAACTTTTTCGTCTTTCGACTGGTACTTTTTGAGTTTTCTATAAAATTTAACCTAGAAACATGAATTTAAGCATGTAGAGCCCAGAGTAAATGAGAATCTATAATAGGGGACTTTTTGGTACTTTTTCGTCCTTCGACTGGTACTTTTTGAGTTTTCTATAAAATTTAACCTAGAAACATGAAATTAAGCATGTAGAGCCCTAAGTAAATTAGAATCTATAAAAGGGGACTTTTTGATACTTTTTCGTCTTTCGACTGGTACTTTTTGAATTTTCTATAAAATTTAACCTAGAAACATGAAATTAAGCATGTAGAGCCCGGAGTAAATGAGAATCTATAAAAGGGGACTTTTTGGTACTTTTTCGTCCTTCGACTGGTACTTTTTGAGTTTTCTATAAATTTAACCTCGAAACATGAAATTAAGCATGCGGAGGCCTTAGTTAATGAGAATCTATAAAAGGGGACTTTGGTACTTTTTCGTTCTTCGACTGGTACTTTTTGAGTTTTCTATAAAATGTAACCTAGAAACATAAAATTAAGCATGTAGAGCCCTTAGTAAATGAGAATCTATAAAAGGGGACTATTTGGTACTTTTTCGTCTTTCGACTGGTACTTTTTGAGTTTTCTATAAAATTTAACCTAGAAACATGAAATTAAGCATGTAGAGCCTGGAGTAAATGAGAATCTATAAAAGGGGACTTTTTGGTACTTTTTCGTCCTTCGACTGGTACTTTTTGAGTTTTCTATTAAATTGAACCTAGAAACATGAAAATAAGCATTTAGAGCCCGTAGTAAATGAGAATCTATAAAAGGGGACTTTTTGGTACTTTTTCGTTCTTCAAAAAGTACTTTTTGAATTTTCTATAATATTGATCCTAGAAGCATGAAATTAAGCATGTAGAGCCTGGAGTAAATGAGAATCTATAAAAGGGACTTTTTGGTACTTTTTCGTTCTTCAAAAGGTACTTTTTGAATTTTCTATAATATTGATCCTAGAAGCATGAAATTAAGCATATAGAGCCTGGAGTAAATGAGAATCTATAAAAGGGACTTTTTGGTACTTTTTCGTTCTTCAAAAGGTACTTTTTGAATTTTCTATAATATTGAACCTAGAAACATGAAATTAAGCAAGTACAGCCAAGATTAAGTGATAACCTATAAAAGGGGACTTTTCGGCACTTTTTCGTTCTTCAAAAGGTACTTTTTGAATTTTCTATAATATTTAACCTAGAAACATGAAATTAAGTACGTAGAGCCCGGAGTAAGTGAGAACATATAAAAGAGGACTTTTTGGTAATTTTTCGTTCTTCAAAAGGTACTTTTTGTGTTTTTTATAACATGAAATTAACCATGTGGAGCCCGGAGTTAATGAGAATCTATAAAAGGGGACCCTTTAGTAATTTTTCGTTCTTCAACTGGTACTTTTCTAATTTTCTATAATATTGAACTTAGGAACATGAAATTAAATAAAAGAGGTCTTTTGTTACTTTTTCGTACTTCATTGGTACTTTTTGAGTTTTCTAAAATATTGAATATATAAACATAAATTTAAATAGGGGACTTTTTGATATTGCAGATATATATACATTTACAATAATATTTATTTTATTCCATTACGATGAGGGTAGCGAAGCACACTGGGTATAGCTAGTTTTCTATAAAAGTAAACAAAATTTTGTATGTATTTAATTTAAGTTAGGGTAGCGAAGCACCCAGGGTATGCTAGTTTATTATAAATGTGTGAAATTTATAAAATTTTGAATTTTTAAAGAAATAAAAGTAATAAAATATTTTTAATTAAAACAAAGTTTATTAAATGCAAGTACAAAACATTAGATTTAAACGATTTTCTTTATAATTTGGGAGATTTTGTTTTGAAATTAAAAATTATGAAACTACATAACTAAGGGACCTGACTAACTTACATATACATACATATACAAGGGGTGGGATTTGACCAATGGATTAACAAAGTATGGGAGTGAGGTGCAGATATTTTAAAACTTAAAAATACTTTTTAACAGAAATGCATGTTATTGAATTTATCACGATCATTGCGCACCATATTATTATACTTCCACTTATCATTGTCCGAGGCATTTTTGGACCAAGCATTATTTGACGAACTTGAGGAATTGGAGCTTGAACTGCTGGCAAAAGAGGACTTTGAGCCGTTTGAAGTGCTCTTGGTGTTATTTGGTTCCTGAGAAGTCAAACACTTTTCTGTGCGATTTGTATACACCATTTTGTGAGAAATTGTAAGTCTTTTTTTTTTAAAAAAAGAAATTTAAAAGTCAATATAATCCTTCCGTTAGATTAAACACGGAACAAGCAATTTCACGGCACGTATTGTATATGGGTAAGAACTTTAAGCTCTAGATTATTGGCGGCGTTACCAGTGCGTGAGCCTCGGTAGTTGGCAGGTTCCTTAGTTGAACTGAAATTATCCGAAATTAATAACAAACTCATACACAGTTTTTTTTTAACCCCTTAAACTCACCGTTGTTTACGTAATTTTGTTGACAAGGGTCTAAACATTGACACCAATGTTTATCTCATTCCACATATGGATAAAATTTAAACCAAAAAAATATTAAGTTGTGGCGTTTTAACTTTCCGAAATTGTAACCGTTTAAATGCTGGTAATAATCCTGTTTGTTGTTATTACAAATTTTTATAAATCGTTTAAATTTTTCTTTTAAATTTTTTGCAATTATTAACAACTTTCTTTAATGAATTTTGCACCACAACTAATGCACTCTCAGTGTAAGTTATCGCTTTAAATAGTCGTCGTTATGCATTATGGCAGAAAAAAACAATCCAGCTCTCTGTTTTTTAAAATTTGTCTGAGATATTTTTTATCGTTTCAAATATTCTAATGAAATGCAGTCGTAAACACCTGCCTAATGTTTATTAGTCTGCATGTTTGTCTGTCGTTGTCGTAGTTGTTGTTGTTGTTGTCGCCTTTTCTTTATTATTCATATATAATGAATCTGTTTTCTTGAAACTGAACTGGTTTGTAAAATTTGTTTTAAAAATAATAATAATATTTTTGCTCACCAAAAACCTGCTTATACTCACGTACTCTTTTAAAGTTGAAATTGTCTGAAATACAAACTTTTTATGGCAAAATATTACTGGTATTTGTTGTTGTTGGGGCATGGAAAAAATGCCGGTAGGAATATTTTTCTAAATGGGCTTTTGTAACTATTAAAGATTTAGTTTATAGGCTGAACATGTTTTAATTAAGAATATTAATACATATTTTATTGTAGATTTATCTTTTGTTTTTATTTTAAATAATTTAATTCATGTTTTTTTGATAAATCTTCTTTCATGTTATTTGGGTTTGTTTGGTTTGATCGCATAATTTTAGACCAAGTAAATGATGAATTTATAAACAATCGTTATGTTTGAAACTGGAAGTAGTAAAACACTTCGTTGGCTAACGTTATCAGCTGAAAAAGCCTGATCGACATACAAACAGAACAGAACTAGAACAGAACTGGAACCGAACTAGAACAGAACTAGAACAGAACTAGAACAGAACTAGAACAGAACTAGAACAGAACTAGAACAGAACTAGAACAGAACTAGAACAGAACTAGAACAGAACTAGAACAGAACTAGAACAGAACTAGAACAGAACTAGAACAGAACTAGAACAGAACTAGAACAGAACTAGAACAGAACTAGAACATAACTAGAACATAACTAGAACAGAACTAGAACAGAACTAGAACAGAACTAGAACATAACTAGAACAGAACTAGAACAGAACTAGAAAGAAACAGAACAGAACTAGAGCACAACTTGAACAGAACTAGAATACAGCTAGAATACAACTAGAACAAAACTTGAACGGAACTCGAACAGAACTAGAACACACCTAAAACAAAAGTAGAACAGAACTAGAACAGAACTAGAACAGAACTAGAACAGAACTAGAACAGAACTAGAACAGAACTAGAACAGAACTAGAACAGAACTAGAACAGAACTAGAACAGAACTAGAACAGAACTAGAACAGAACTAGAACAGAACTAGAACAGAACAAGAACAGAACTAGAACACAACTAGAACAGAACTAGAACAGAACTAGAACAGAACTAGAACAGAACTAGAACAGAACTAGAACAGAACTAGAACAGAACTAGAACAGAACTAGAACAGAACTAGAACAGAACTAGAACAGAACTAGAACAGAACTAGAACAGAACTAGAACACAACTAGAACAGAACTAGAACAGAACTAGAACAGAACTAGAACAGAACTAGAACAGAACTAGAACAGAACTAGAACAGAACTAGAACAGAACTAGAACAGAACTAGAACAGAACTAGAACAGAACTAGAACAGAACTAGAACAGAACTAGAACAGAACTAGAACAGAACTAGAACAGAAACTAGAACAGAACTAGAACAGAACTAGAACAGAACTAAACAGAAACTAGAACAGAAACTAGAACAGAACTAGAACAGAACTAGAACAGAACTAGAACAGAACTAGAACAGAACTAGAATAGAACTAGAACAGAACTAGAACAGAACTAGAACAGAACTAGAACAGAACTAGAACAGAACTAGAACAGAACTAGAACTAGAACAGAACTAGAACAGAACAGAACTAGAACAGAACTAGAACAGAACTAGAACAGAACTAGAACAGAACAAGAACAGAACAGAACAGAACAGAACTAGAACAGAACTAGACAGAAACTAGAACTAACTAGAAACAGAACTGGAACCGTACTAGACAGAACTAGAACAGAACTAGAACAGAACTATAACAGAACTAGAACAGAACTAGAACAGAACTAGAACAGAACTAGAACAGAACTAGAACAGAACTAGAACAGAACTAGAACTAGAACAGAACTAGAACATAACTAGAACAGAACTAGAACAGAACTAGAACAGAACTAGAACAGAACTAGAACATAACTAGAACAGAACTAGAGCAGAACTAGAACTGAACTAGAACAGAATTAGAACAGATCTGGGACAGAACTGGAACTGAACTAGAACAGAACTGGAAAAGAAACAGAAACAGAACAGAACTAGAGCACAACTTGAACAGAACTAGAATACAGCTAGAATACAACTAGAACAAAACTTGAACGGAACTCGAACAGAACTAGAACACACCTAAAACAAAAGTAGAACAGAACTAGAACAGAACTAGAACAGAACTAGAACAGAACTAGAACAGGACTAGAACAGAACTAGAACAGAACTAGAACAGAACTAGAACAGAACTAGAACAGAACTGAACTAGAACAGAACTAGAACAGAACTAGAACAGAACAAGAACAGAACTATAACAGAACTAGAACAGAACTAGAACAGAACTAGAACAGAACTAGAACAGAACTAGACACGAACTAGAACAGAACTAGAACAGAACTAGAACAGAACTAGAAACAGACTAGAATAGAACTAGAAACAGAACTAGAACAGAACTAGAACAGAACTAGAACATAAACTAGAACAGAACTAGAACAGAACTAGAACAGAACTGAACAGAACTAGAACAGAACTAGAACTAGAACTAGAACTAAACAAACGACAACTAGAACTAACTAACTAACTAACAACTAACGAACTAAACTAACTAACTAACTACCTAACTAACTAACTAACTAACTAACTAACTACTAACTAACTAACTACTAACTAACTAACTAACTAACTAACTAACTAACTACTAACTAACTAACTAACTATACTACTAACTAACTAACTAACTAACTACTAACTAACTAACTACTAACTAACTAACTAACTAACTAACTAACTAACTAACTAACTAACTACTAACTAACTAACTAACTAACTAACTAACTAACTAACTAACTAACTAACTAACTAACTAACTAACTAACTAACTAACTAACTACTAACTAACTAACTAACTAACTAACTAACTACTAACTAACTAACTAACTAACTAACTAACTAACTACTAACTAACTAACTAACTAACTAACTAACTAACTAACTAACTAACTAACTAACTAACTAACTAACTAACTACTAACTAACTAACTAACTAACTAACTAACTAACTAACTAACTAACTAACTAACTAACTAACTAACTAACTAACTACTACTAACTAACTAACTAACTAACTAACTAACTAACTAACTAACTAACTAACTAACTAACTAACTAACTAACTAACTAACTAACTAACTAACTAACTAACTACTAACTAACTAACTAACTAACTAACTAACTAACTAACTAACTAACTAACTAACTAACTAACTAACTAACTAACTAACTAACTAACTAACTAACTAACTAACTAACTAACTAACTAACTAACTAACTAACTAACTAACTAACCAACTAACTAACTAACTAACTGACTAACTAACTAACTAAGTAAGTAACTCGATCGCATACCGGAACAAAAATTGTCGGAAACTTCGAGGTAGAGTCCATGATATGAGTTCTAGCGTAACATTAGATTATATCAATGACTGCAAATCGGCAGACACAACAGGAATTCGGGATGCTTACTTTTGCAACTGACTGTATAACACTTTAAACATTAAATTAAAAAAAAAACTTAACTCTTCTAATGATCTTTCTAAACTACACAGTCATGCATTCAGACAAATAGTCACCCATCCAGTCCACCGCCAGACATACTTTCTTTTGTTATTGTTTTAATGTACGATTAAAAATAGCAAATAACCGGCTGCAAAACATTATAACCAATAATATTTTCTTAATTTTCGGTTAAACCCCATCCATAAATGCAATCAATAAATATTTGTATGTCTCAAGGCCAAACGTTGAATAAACCAATAATACTTTTTTTTATAATAATTTTCATAAATAATTAAGAATATCCCAAAAACAAAATAATGCACTCGACATGAAAATAACAAAATCATAAATTTCTAAACATAATTATATAAGTACGATTCTTAATTTTAAAAAAAATATATAAACTTTTAAATTGGCATTAGATTTAATTAATTGATTTAATGAATTTATTCAAATATTTAAATATGTATTACAAATGTAAGTGTTATTGTACCAGTTTTTCTTCTCGTAAAACTCTCATCTCAGTGTAATGTATGGAAAAAAAATACTTTTTATTTTTCACCTGTTTGTACCTGATAAGATCCAACGACCAGCGTTTTTTTATTCACTTTTGTGTAAGCGAATTGGCTGATGCAATGAAACTTGTACTTTTCATCAGTTCTCATAAGAAATATAAAAAAAACAAGTCGTATTATTATAAAGATACAAAAATATGTATATATTATAGATATGCAAATCATATGTGTTATAAATTCGGATATAAAGATCCAAAAACATGCTAAAAATTTTAGAAAGTATCCAGACAGAAAAATGTAACAAGGCCAAGGATTATCATTGTAAAACGCTGGATTTTTATCTTAAAAAATATTATGGAAACAGCTTGAATCGTTTTCCTGATATCATTTCAAAATATTGGTCTAAGACCCTTTATAAAGTATAAACTATATTCGGGGTCCTCATTAGATTTTAAGACGATCTAGTCATGTCCGTCTGTCCGTACGCCTGTCTGTCACGATAGAATCCAAACGGTACAATCTCTCTCTAAAATATTATCAGGATCGTTGGCAAAATTCTTCGAGGCACCATGATTCCTGATGATTAGTATTCTTTGGCAAATTATCATCAATAGATTGACTTTTGAACAACGCTACCGAGCTATACAAATTTACTTTGAAAATCCGACATCGATGTTTTAGACTTAACGGGCTTATTAAAAATAATATTGA